TCCCTCTGACCCTCCCCCTCTCATGCTCTCTCTCTCTCTCTCATTCTCTCTCTCAAATAAATAAATAAAATCTTTAAAAAAAAAAAAAAGAAAATGGCAATTACAATAACACTTATAAAGCACTTAATATGCGTCAGACTCAAACTACATCATTTGTTTTTAGTTTGTTTTTTTTAAGTAAGCTCTGTGCCCAATGTGGGGCTTGAACTCACGACTCCGAGATCAAGAGTCACATGCTCTACCGACTGAGCCACCCAGGTGCCCCTCAAACTGCATCATTTAATCCTCACACCAACCCTAAGAGGAAGTACCATCATTTTTCCCTTTTTACAGATGTGGAACTTGAGACAAGGCAAACTTGCCCACAGTAATAGAAAGGGTAAAGCCAAGACGTGACCAGGGAATCGGACTAGAGAGCCTGCCCTCACAACCACACATTTGTATCTCCCCAAAGAGAGTGACCTGTTGGATTCCAGTAAGCTCTTTATTCAACTCTTCCAGATGGTCAGCTATCTTCTCCACAGATCTCTCCAAATCTTTCAATTTCTTTAGTTCAACCTCTTCCTCTGGACTGTTCTAAAATGTTTAAGAATAAAATGAAGTCAATAATCACCAAGAAGAGTAGCTTCTGACTGGAAAGAAAAAAAAAATCTGACCACAACTGGGCTAAACCACTCACCTAGAAAAAACAGCCTTAACTCTGCTGCTTCTTGGAAAGCAAGCTGGAGGGTTACACATGAAGGTTTTCTACCTACAACTCTAGACTAAAGAGAAGATACTAAGAAAACATTCTGCAAGGACCCAGACAGCTTGGGAGCCAATCTAAGTGCCAGAGTCAACCTGAGCCTGGGGCTGACTCTAGACTGAAGCCTCCAGGAGGAACAGATGACAGTGAACACCTACGAGGAGTCCAGAATGGTGAGACAGGTGGAATTCTACCATTCTTTTAAATGAATTCCTAAGTATCACCCACAACTTAACTCTCCCATTTATTAAGATGATGACAATGATGAATACTTTTGTTGAGCATTCTCTCCACTACACTAAAACTACTTTATCTGGACTATTGTTTTAAACCTTACTACAACCCAGTGAGGAAGGTAGTGTTCTAGATGATGAAACTGAGGTTTAATGTAAAGTAACCTAAGGTCACACAGCCTAAACGAGGTGGAACGGAGACTTGGCTTCACACATCCCAGGGCAGCTCAAATTAGGGGTTCTATAATTTCTTCAAACTCAACCCTTAGGTTCTGCCCATTGCCCAGAACTATTCTCCCTGAACCTTAAGAAAGAAATTTAGAATATTTCCCCTTCTATCGTCTAAACAATAGGTAGTCAGGGCCAGCAGTTTCCTGCTTTTATACTACCCAAAATTGTTCACATTCTTCTTTGTGGCCAAATCCTGAGTGCCAGACTCCTGGCTGTTCTGCGGCTGGACTAGATCTTCTTTGCCTCCACATTGCTAACCTTTGCCCTCTCTCCACTCTGAATAAGCCACCTCACTCAAAATAAGGAAACTTCCTATAACCAACAATTTCACTGTGTCACAATGCAGGGCTGGCCATAACCCTCTCTCATCACCCCAGGGGCTACTGTCCTCACCAACTGGCTCTTTTCCTCCCTCGGTTCTTTTTTTTTTTTAAGATTTTATTTATTTATTTGACAAAGAGGGAGTGAGAGAGGAAACACAAGCAGGGGGAGTGGAAGAGGGAGAAGCAGACTTCCTGCCGAGCAGGGAGCCCGACGTGGGGCTCGATCCCAGGACCCTGGGATCATGACCCAAGCCGAAGGCAGACACTTAACCAACTGAGCCTCCGAGGCCCCCTTCCTCCCTTGGTTCTTTAGGCTGAACCTTTCTTTTGAGCCAAAGAAGGCTTTCCCTTGTGGAAGATTTTAGTGGAAAGGGTGTTTAAAGGGAGAGAGACTCATGAAATTTGCAGAGGACTTATTTTAAAAATTTACAGACTTATTTTAACAAAAGTTTCTCTTGCAAATCCCCTCCAAGTGAGTAAGGTCTGACTCAGGTACCATTTTAACCAGATTGAGATCCACCACCGAGACAAGAGCTACATTATTGAAGTAGCATAACTGTTCATAATTCCCAGAGCAAAAGTCATAACCCACAGGAGCCGGAGGGCATGAGAATAACAAACCTGGCAAGCCCATCAAATAAATGGAACTACATCTGTCTGGAGAGAGCTATTTCACTAATGTAGAATCTGGGTTCCCAATTTGGCCTTCTAAATGGAAATATGTATAAAAGACCTTAGTCATTTGATTCTGGGGTATTCTGGTAGAAAAAGCAATTTACCTTTTTCCCAATTAACATGACTCGGCAACCATTTTGTATTCCGAGTGCTGACAATGGCTTCTCCATTTCCTTCAGAGATTTTCCTGAAAAGAGAAGTTATGCCAAGTGGTAACAACTGTACAACATTGAAAACAGATTTCAGCAAGGTTACAGGAAATAGACAAGTGTGTTCACTAATGAGAAGAGGATAAATTGGCATAACCTTTTCCAAAGGTGTCTTGATCCAGTAATTTCATCTAGGATTTTATCCCAAACAAACAACTGGACATATGCCTGCACAGTAAGTGTTATAAAATAATCTTCAATGCAACCTTAATCATAATAGTGAGAAACTAGAAAGGGACAAACATTTAGGAACAGGGGTCTAATTATACATCAGTACAATAGAAGATTTTGTAGGCATTAAAGCTAATTTTTTCAGGAAATTTCAATGCCCCAATAAATGCTGATGGCTCAGTTTTATAAGAAAAATGTTATAAAAACTGTATAGTCAATATAATCTCAGTTTCGTCAACTAAACACACACACACACAGACACACAAATAAAAACCCACACTGCTGGGGCGCCTGGGTGGCTCAGTTGGTTAAACGGCTGCCTTCAGCTCAGGTCATGATCCCAGGGTCCTGGGATCGAGCCCCACGTCGGGCTCCTTCCTCAGCGGGGAGCCTGCTTCTCCCTCTCCCTCTGCTTGGCACTCCACCTGCTTGTGCTCTCTCTCTCTCTATCTCTATCAAATAAATAAATAAAATCTTTAAAAAAAAAAAAAACCCACACTTCAGGATGCCTGTACAAATGGATAGAAATATGCTGAAATGTAATGAGGGATTTTATCCAGGAGAACATTTTCTTCTTTGTGTTTTCCTCTATTTTGAAACATGGACTTCTACTGCCTTTTATAATTCCGTAATAAAATAGTTGTTGTTTTTTTTTTAAAGATTTTATTTACTTATTTGACAGAGAGAGACACAGCAAGAGAGGGAACACAAGCAGGGGGAGTGGGAGAGGGAGAAGCAGGCTTCCCTCTGAGCAGGGAGCCCGATGCGGGGCTCGATCCCAGGACCCTGGGATCAGGACCTAAGCTGAAGGCAGACGCTTAATGACTGAGCCACCCAGGCGCCCCCATAATAAAAGTTTTAAAAAGAAAACACAAGGAGTTGCTCTATGACATATAAATAAAAAATGCTTCCCATCACTAAATTCTTTTTTTTTTTTTTAAGATTTTATTTATTTGAGAGATAGAGAGCATGAGCAGAAAGAGGAGCAGAGGGAGAGGGAGAAGCAGGCTCCCCACTGAGCAGGGAGCCCAGACACAGGGCTCAATCCCAGGACCCTCGGGCCATGATGTGAGCCGAAAGCAGACGCTTAACTGATTGAGCCACCCAGGCACCCCTCCTTCACTAAATCCTTTGACTGGCACCAAATGGGATAAATTTGGCCCCATCAGATACCATGATAATGAGTTCCCATGGGAATGGGAAGAAAGAGTGGGTCCTAGCAGAAATCAGCATCATCCACTGGGCTTGCCACAACCAGGCCCCTGGTAAGTTTGTTCAACATCTCTGTGTCAGCACTATGCTGAGCATTAGACACAGCAGTATCTTCCCTCAAAGGGTTAGTTATTCTAACAGAGAAATCAGATGTTCAGCAACTATGAAAACAATTATTTAATAGTAATTTCAATACAAGTTATGCAGAAGTGGTAGGGAGTTTGATCTGTACATATGATGGGAAGAGGATCTAAACTAACTTCGCCACAGAAGACTACCCATGTGCTTTCACCACAAATGGTAAGACTGCTGCCATCCTCATGGGACTTGAACTCTAATACCTGTCCAAGTGTTTGAAAGTGTCCTGTAGGGGCGCCTGGGTGGCTCAGTTGTTAAGTATCTGCCTTCGGCTCAGGTCATGATCTCAGGGTCCTGGGATGGAGCCCCACATCGGGCTCCCTGCTCGGCGGGAAGCCTGCTTCTCCCTCTCCCACTCCCCCTGTTTGTGTTCCCTCTCTTGCTGTGCCTCTCTCTGTCAAATAAATAAATAAAATCTTTAAAAAAAAAAGTGTCCTGTACGTAGTAGGTTCTCAATAAAATGTGCTAAAGGAATGGATGAATAAATAAGCAAATAAGAATTATCCCAGTTTAAAAACTAAGAGTTATCATTAGGTAAGGTTAAGTAGTTTTAAACAGGCCCTTTAGCCATAAGGACTCAAAGCTGGAAGAGAAATGCCTACCCTTAAATATAAGTTTCTGAAAAGGCAGTGGGACTCCTGTGGCCTCTTCAACAACCTGGGCCAGGTCTTGGACAACTGGCTCACTACAGCCCTGCTGTGGGGTAACATGAAGATCGTGCTTCTCATTGCCTGGGGAGAGAGAAGAGTGTTCAGTGAAGAAAATTCTTTTACATAAACTAATACAGACTGACACTTTATTATATTTATTTACCCAGCCTTCAAGGCCCAGTTCATCTGTCACCTCCTCCAAACAGCCTGTCCCCCCCATCTTCCCAGCTTCGTCTGGTGACCCGTCTGGAGGATTTTTGTTTCCTCTCTAATAATAACTAACAATTTAGTGATATCAGCTAGCGTTTTAAGCACTTAACATGCGTAAAGGTCTGCTGAGGCTCAGAACAACCCCATGAAATAGGTACCACCTATATTAAACCCCGTTTCACAGATAAACAAACTACGTTCAGTCCAGTTACGACCTGCCTATGGAGACTCAACTGAGGAGTCAGAACTTGACCTCAGATCTGATTCCTAAGGCCATGCTTTTCATCAGAAGCCATCTGCTTCCTGTGGCCTAACTGCCCTGTACTCTGTAATGTTCTTGTCTCCTTTGCTGTCATGAGTAAGGGATTATTTTTTCCTCTAAGTCTGTCCCACTGGGCACATACATGGTTGGTGCTCAGTAAATAGACAACGAGTGAGTAAACTCACACAGCAAAAAACTTCTTTTTGAGCCAGAAATGTCAATTCTTTAACAGGTATGTGGACAGTAAGGAGATAGCCCATGCCCAGTGCTTATGCCAAGCCTTGAGCCTGCACAAGAGCCACATGGAGTTAGTGGGACAGGTGCTACCAACTCTACTTCACAGGGATGAAACCAGAAGCCTAGAAAGGAGACATCCCAAGGTTACTCAAAACTGAAGGATCTAGAATACTGGTCTTGAGATTCTGAGGCCCTGGGGTCTCCCTTAGTCCTGAAGAGACTTTATAGGCTCAGCTCTTGAGAGGACTGACTGTTTAGATTGATGTCAACTCCAACAGTAGACAGACCCAAAGGGTGCCCAGAGCGTATGCTTGGAGCCACGGCCCACTCAAACAACGGACATGAGTTTAGGCTCGGCACACACATAGGTGTCCAGACACACAGCAGTCATACGCCACACGGCCAAATACAATCCTGATACAAAGACCCCCAATAACTGCTCAGGCACACACTAACACATACAACCAGGACGACGACATGAAGCCCGGACATCGAGGATAAAACAAATGGCCTGAGTCAAAATACACTGGCCACTGGAAAGGCGTCCTGATACAAGACCCGAACAAAAGCCGGTCCCAAACACAAACAAGACCCCACACTTCCGGACGGCCAGGACCAACACAGTAACACCTGCTTTTGGAGGACTCGTGCCCAAACCCACAGACCCCCGCTGGACTTTGGTAGCCCCGCAACGCGCCCACCCGGCACGGAGCCCACCCGGTCGTCCGAGCTCACTATGGGTGACGGTCACGATGAGCCCGGCTGCCGCCATTTCCTCGCCCTGGACCACCTCTTCGCTCCGGGCCACCTCCTCGCTCAGGGCCACCTCTTCGCTCTGGGCCACCTCTTCACTTCGGGCCACCTCTTCGCTCCGAGCCACCTCTTCGTTCCGGGCCACCTCTTCGCTCCGGGCCGAGCGAGGCTGCACTTTCTTCACCCGCGGGCTGCGAGCGCCGCCGGCGGCGCCCCTGGTGGATCTGGCATGCCCGCTGGCCGCACTCCTGACTGATGATCGCTGAGAGGGAGGCGGACCGCGCTCGGCCTGGGGCACCGACTGGCGCGGCTCCCGGCCAGGCCGAGGGCCGCGCCGCCGGGGACCCAGCCGCCCCCGGTCGCCTCGCGGTCTCCCCGCGCCACCGCGCTCCGCCAGACCCGCGCTTGTTGACCACCCAGCGGTGGGCGCTGAGCTCAGCGCTTTGCAACCAGGGCCGGCTACTTCCCCGCCCTTCCCCGCCCCGCCCGGCCTACCGGCCCCGCCCCTCAGAGCAGGCCTGGCTCTGGCCCCGCTGTATTCCGCCGAAGCAGCCCCGGCCCCACCCACTCAACCGAGGCCCCGCCCCACTCACTGGAACCCCGCCCCACGCCCTTCACCGAGGCCACGCCCCTGCTGACTGTCCGCCACCTCCACCCTCCCGGAGCTCTCCTTCCCCGGAAGGTCGCGCTGAAAATCCGGAAAAAGGATCGGGTAACTCCAATAGGCACATTGCGCTTGCGCGGGAGGGGGCCGGAAGTCAAGGAGGAGGCGGAGGTGCCTCTGCTTCCGTTTCTAGTCTTGCTCCAGTGTTTGGGTTTTCTTCGTGGCCGCCCAAGATGAACCGATTCTTCGGGAAGGCGAAACCCAAGGCTCCGCCGCCCAGCCTGACTGACTGCATTGGCACGGTGGGCACTTGACCACGCATAACTAGACTCAGGGACTCTGACACTCCCGACCCCGCCCACCCTCGGCTCCAGGCTCCTACTCCTCCATTCCATTCTCGGTTCCGGACACCTCGGCCCTCTCCACCTCACCTTCGTTCCTGTTACCCAGGTCATTCCTGACGCCACACACCAGGGACCCCCTAACCCTGCTTGCACGCAACCCCTTCTGAGGCTTGCTGCCGTGTTTACTCGCTCTTTCCGTCTCCTGCCCCAACCAGCCATAGGCCCACATCCTTCCCATTCGTCCAGCCCGACCCTTTTCCCCTCTTTTATTTTTCATCCCTCTCCCACATCAGGATCCTCAACTTGATATCCTAGGTCAACATATACGTACCCCAACCCTGGATCTCAGTAATAGGAAATTCAGAACTCGCCCCTCACATTAAGCCACCACCCTCTATCTAAACGAATAGCATTAGATTTACAGCCCTAGCCCATTTCACACACCTGGTTGAGCCCCCAGCCTGACTAGTCTCTGATTGTAGGAGAATGTCGATTCAGCCCGGTGATTTCCAAATTCTTTCTGCTCAAGCACACTTGAAAGGGGCCCTAGAATATGAGAATCTGAGGGGTGGAGTATAGTTTATAAAAGCCTCCCAGTGTTTCTGACTAGTAATCTCCCCCTGGTTGGGAACCACTTTCCCACCCTTCTTTCCTCTCCTGCCCCTTCTCATGTAAATGTATTGTCCTAACTATGTCTGTTTTCTCAAGGTGGACAGCAGGGCAGAATCCATTGACAAGAAGATTTCTCGACTGGATGCTGAGCTCGTGAAGTATAAGGATCAGATCAAGAAGATGAGAGAGGGTCCTGCCAAGGTAAGGTAGGCGGCAGCTGCAGAACGTGCTGCGACAGCCTAATTTGAGCACCTATGGAAGTAAGGCCCAGTAGTAGTCTGGTAAGGAGAAAACATGTGAGGGTGTATCCTTCAGGGAGGAGGGTTTGCAGCTTGATATGAGAGGAAGGCTGGGGTTTAGTCTGGTGGAGAGAAGATGCTGGTGACTGGTCCAGAAGCATGTACAGGGGAATTAATACATTCTGCTGAGAAGGTGGCAGTCTCAGAACAGCATCTGGAGACCAGCATTCTATTAATAACACCATCACTATCTACTAGCTGTGACTGTCATAAAGTCACTTAATACCTTATTTTCCTCTTCTATTAGGTAGAAACAGAGATTACCATATTTAAGTGCATGAACTGTGGATATAGCACTACCTTCTTTTTTCCCCATCTCTGTAACTTATTAACTATTTGAACTAAGTTACTTAGCGTCACTGAACCTCAGTTTCCCTATCTGTAAAATGGGAATGACACCTACTTTATAGTATGAGGATTAAATGAGGTAATTCATGTGACCTACCTAGCACTGTGTCTGGTACATAGAAACATTCATAAATAATAAATGTTAGATATTATCATCATCTGTGAGTAATATCTGCTTTTCCTTCTTCATTGGAGGAGACAAATACAATGATTTATGGAACAGTATAGAAAGGGAAGTGACAAGAGGCTTTTCTCAGCCATCTTAGTTGGATGGCATGGAATGAAGAATGACCAGAGGGAGGAAAGCTCATCTAGACTTGAGATGAAAGCCTAAACCATGGTGGCAGTCAGGAAAATGACAGGAAAATCAGTTTGCAAGTGAGTTCTGAAAATCAGTAACAAGATGACTGCATGAAGAGACAGAGAGGAAATGTAAGGTTGATATAAAGGTTCTTAACCAAGTGAGAGATTGGAGGGACCATTGTGAATAATATTGGTGAGAGCAGGTTGAGGATTTTGGGCCTGTTGAGTTTGAGTGGATAGCAAGAAGTCCAAGTTGGGAATCTCCCTAAGGCAACTGGATGTACAAATAGGCACTATTATGGGTGGCCATGGAGAGACAATGCACTAAAGAGAATGCAGTTCAGTACCCTGAGATGTGGGATTCAAAGACAGAGACAAGATGAGGCTTAAAGACTATGCTTGGGAGGTGAAGAAGAGTCCAGGAGCCACTCTGTCTATGACTTTGAAGAAGAAAGTAGATATGTAAGTCCGAGATATGGGAGATTTCTTTTATTATATGTGTGTTTTCTACTTCTTTTAAATAAAATCTGTTTTTCTCCCCAGAATATGGTCAAACAGAAAGCCTTGAGGGTTTTAAAGCAAAAGCGGATGTAAGTTATAAGTGTAACCTCCTTTCCTCCAGCAGGTTTAACTGAAAGGGAAATGGTCTTATATTCTTCAGTTTTTCATAGTATTTTATAAGCATTCTTGATTTCGTTGCAAATTTCATTTACATATCCGGTGAGCTGGGTTTTTCTCCCCCTGCATGTTGAGCACTATCTGTTACAGCACTGTCCATCTGAACAGAACTTTTTGCTATGATAAAGATGTTCTGTATCTGTGCTGTTCAATACAGTAGCTCTTAGCCACGTGTGGCTCTTGAGCACTTGAAAAGTGTTTAATTTTTAACAAGTAGCCATATATGGCTAGTGGCTTCTGTATTGGACTGCCCAGATCTGTAGGTTCTCCCATTATTTATTAGAGTATGCCTTTTTGTTTGTAAAATTGAGAATCCTGAATACCTGTTCCCACCCAACCAGAATAGATTTAAGGGTCCTTAATTTATTTTAGGTGACTATGTCTCAGTGTTTGAGCAGAAGCCAAATAACATCGTTGGTGCTTACCCCTGTGGGCTGTCCAGCTGATGAGACCTTCTGCAGGGTTGTAGGGGTCAGATATAAGCAGCTTATAAGGAACCAGAAATGTTGTTGATATCTCTATTTTTATTTTTAAAATGTCTTTTTATCAACACAAACAATGAATCATGGAACAGTACATCAAAAACTAATGATGTAATGTATGGTGATTAACAACAATAAAAATTTAAAAAATAAAATAAAATGTCTTTTTATCAGATACCACCTTCCTCCTTTTAAATTAGACAAAATTGGGGGAAAAAATGATAGTTGTGAGAGCATGGTAAAACTGTTCCTTCTTAGTAGGTAGCACTGCAGTTTTTAAGTAACTTTTTTTAACAAAAGGAATGTATATTCATCATAGACGCTAGCAAAATACATAAACATGAACAGAAGAAAAGAACATTTACCTAGATTCCTACTACCAGAAATAACCATTTTTAGAATGCTGATTTCTTAGTTTCTTTTCTCTGCTTGTGCCTGTATGGAATCTGTGCATATAGCTTTTTAGAAGAAAAATTGTATTGTGTAAATATAGGTTGTCCCTTTCCACTTCACATTATATCATGAGCATTTCTCTCCTTTTATACATTTTTTTCCCCTTTTATACATTCTTTGGAAACTTTAATGGGGTGGTGATAATTCTACCACCATTTGCCTACACCATGAATTGACCAATTTTCTTCTGGTTGGATAGTTAGACGGTTTCCAAATATTGTATAAAGACCATAGGGACATAAGTCTTTGAGGTAGTATTATACTTTGATATAAAACTTTATTTTAAAAAAAGCATTTTGGAGGGCACCTGGGTGGCTCAGTCGTTGGGCATCTGCCTTCGGCTCAGGTCATGATCCCAGAGTCCTGGGATCAAGCCCCGCATTGGGCTCCCTGCTCAGCGGGGAGCCTGCTTCTCCCTCTTCTACTCCCCCTGCTTGTGTTCCCTCTCTCACTGTCTCTCTCTCTGTCAAATAAATAAATAAAATCTTTTAAAAAAATTTTTGAGCACCAGGTATTACATCAGGCCCGGTGAATTTCTTAATTATGGATATAAGATTAATAAAAAATAATACCTATCCTCAAGAAGTTCAGTCTACTGAAAACCAGTTTAGTTATATGTATGAAGAGCCTTAAAAATCGTCCTACCCTTTGCCCCAAGAATTCTACTTTTGGGGATTTATCATAGGAAATCATTTGAAACATCATAAAGACATATTAAGAGTATGTAGTAACATAGAAAACAGCAAAGGCTATAATATTAAGTGGAAAATAGTCTCGTAACTAAGATACAAAGACAAAAGACTGGAGGGGTACATCAGATGATATTTGTATTAGAGGGATTACATTGCTTTTGCCAGTTTTTCTGTGTATTTAATTTTTTAAAGAAAATTCCTATTTAATGTTGGAGATACTTTCTTCCTGAGGATTTCTGTCTGGCTCACATTTACCATTCTTAATTGATTCTAAAAAGGTATGAGCAGCAGCGGGACAATCTTGCCCAACAGTCATTTAACATGGAACAAGCCAATTACACCATCCAGTCATTGAAGGACACCAAGACCACGGTATTTCCATAGCACCTTTTCCCATGATTTTATTTTATTTTTTTACTCTTTTGTTCTTTTCCCATAGTATTTAAAAGACAATTTCACCAACATGGCTTCTTAAGACATTGTGTTCTCTCTTATCTTTTTTTAGGTTGATGCTATGAAACTGGGAGTAAAGGAAATGAAGAAAGCATACAAGCAAGTGAAAATCGACCAGATTGAGGTGAGATGTGTACTGGTTTCTGCAAGAATGTACACTAGTTTTGGAAAGAATCCAAATGAATGTGTATGTGATGGAAAGAACACAGAAGACTGATTCAATCTTGCGCTTGCCATTTACTAATAGAGTAGCTTTGGGAAAGGATACCAAATGACTCTGATTCCTTGTTAACACAAGGATCCTAATGCCATATATGGTTATGGTGAGGATGAAATAAATGAGCTGGTGTGTCTGTGCACACAATACCTGGCACATAATAGACACTCAGTAAATAAGCCGCCAGTTTCCCATTACTTCTAACTCACTAAATGATTTTGAGTCTGTTTCCTGAATTGTAAAGTAGTGATGTTGCGACCCATCTCCCAGGATTGTCACGAGTGTTAAATGAGGATGTATATGTCAGGTGTTTGACACAGTTCCTGGAGTAGAGCTGGTTCCCTTTTCTAGTAATTCTCTTTATATATTTAATAATAATGTCATTAGATTCTTAAAATTAACATGTCTTTAGCTGGGAGGTGAACCCTAAGCACTTGGCTCCTCTCACCTCTGTCAGGTGAGCAGCCCAGATGGCAAGCGGAGATAGCAGAGGGAGTGAGCGGTGACTGGTCAGAGGAAAGAGGCCTTTCTGCCATATGGTGGTATTCCTGACTTTATCACGCCACTCCACCCTCCCCCCAACCCCCAGTAGAATGTCTCTTTCCGTGAGGGCAGGGACTTGATTTTGTTCACTGTTAGGCCTTGAACAATGCCTGGCCATAGTTGGTGTTCAGAAAGTTTTTGATGGATGATGAACAAATGAACAAGAAACTATTAAAGGAGCTAAAGCAGTCCTGCCCGATTCAAGCCATATTTGTTGGTTATTTACTATCTTCCTGGCATTTTACTGCCTCTGAAGAGTATTCTCCAGGAGTGTGGATCTTTAGTACAAGTGAGGACATTCCTCCCATCTGACTTTTCTCGAGCACCCCTCCTTGGACTGCCCGTGGCTGTCTCTCTAATCCTGCACCAGTCTCTGCTCACAGGGAGTTAAGCTCAGTACCATCTTCCAGGACATTGACTGAGAAAATGTTCCAAGTAAATTTGTCTTATTTGTACAATACTATTTAGTAATATAATGAAACTGAATTTTGTTTTCTGTTTATAGGGTTCCTTATGTTTTAATTAGAGCTATTTAATGTCAAAACAGAAACTGTGGTCTTTCTGGGGGTTTTGTACGTCTCTCCATCTTTTATCTGCAGTTGTCTGTCTGGTTCCCTATCTAATTATCCTTTTCCTGTCTCCTCCTAGATTTGCCCATATGGCAGGTGGAGAGCTTCTTTCTCTCCCTTTTGGCCTGTGTGTCTGTCTGTGTCTGTTGTCAGTTGGGCTATCTATTTTGAATCATTTGTTTTCCTAAAATACTTCATAAAACATTTTCATTGTTTTATAACTCATTTTTTGGTATTTTGCCTATGTTCTCTGTTTCTAGCCTTCCTATTTTTTCAGTTTCTGCACATCAGGTCTAGTGCTTGTATTTGTTTATATTACTTTTGTGTTGTTTATCCAATATTGAACCCGTTAATTCTTTGTGTGATGATTGTGTGTGTGTGCGTGTGTCTTTCATAGAGTCTATTTCAAGGAATCCTATCCATAAATGATTTGGGGAGACTTGTCTTGATATATGATTCATGGCAGAAACTTGACTTGATTAGCTTACTCTGTGTTTTCACTCTCTTTTAGTTTTTGTTTCAGCCAGTGCTTCTCTGTACAGCAGAATGTCACATACGTACAGTGTGGTATTTGGGCACTGAAAATACAGAAAAGCTTAATGTTTTCTTTTTTTTAAAGTGTTTTTCATTTTACTCTCTGTGTTGTCTTCTTCACCTTTAAATGGAAAAACAAACCTCCACTTTGGGGGCCCGGAGGAGTTCTCAAATGTTTTGCATTGTTCTAAATATTCTGAAGGATAAATGGTGCCAATTTGGACTTTCTGCATTATCAACAATAGTCTGTTCCCTTTCTGTGGAAATTTAAGTCTATGACGAGCACATTGTTACTCTGCATATCCTTTTTTTTTTTGTAAGATTTTTTTTATTTATTTGAGAGAGAGAGCATGAGCGAGAGAGCATGAGAGAAGATAAGCAGAGGGGGAACTGTAGAGGGAGAGGGAGAAGCAGACTCCCCGCTGAGCAGGGAGCCCGATGCGGGGCTCGATCCCAGGACTTCAGGATCATGACCTGAGCCGAAAGCAGATGCTTAACCGACTGAGCCACCCAGCGGCCCCTCTCTGCATATCCTTAACACAGTGGAAGATACGTAGTATTAAGTGCTTAGTGTTTTACATGTATTATTGCAGTAAAGCCTTACAAAACCCTCTGAGGTATGGCCATTAATAATCTCATTTTGCAGATGAGAAAATTATGGCTTAGGGACTTTCTCATTAAGTAAGGCAAAATTCGAGCTTTTATATGTCTGATTCCAGAGTCTGTGCTCCTAACCATTATACTAGCTGCCCTATATTATGCTGTAGCACTTCTCAGATTGGTTTTACATTATTTCTGGCCTTGTAGTCTTCCAGTTAATCATGGGTAGATCATTCACAGATGACTTATGCTCTCAGTCAATTATTTTCACCAGCCTGGTTTCAGATATCAAGCCTGTCCTGATTCCATTTCTGTTTCTCCATCCAGGGTGGGCCTAGTAGAACTTTTTGTATCACCCAGTTGTTTGCACTACTGTTTGTTTTCCCTACACAGTTTAGTCAGTCTTTAGCTGACTTAAGAAGACTAATTTGCGTGCTCACTTCGGCAGCACATATACTAAAATTGGAACAATACAAAGATTAGCATGGCCCCTGCACAAGGATGACATGTAAATTCGTGAAGCGTTCCATATTTTTGTCCCACATCAGGCTCCCTGCTCAGCAGGGAGTCTGCTTCTCCCTCTGACCCTCCCCCCTCTCATGCTCTCTGTCTCTCATTCTTGCTCTCAAATAAATAAATTAAATCTTTTAATAAATAAATAATAAAACTTAAAAAAAGACTAATTTGCTTGTCTCTATTACCTGCTTTTCTCCATAAACTAGGAAAATGTTGATAGTGTAGATGTTGCTGGATTTAATGTTTTAGGTAAACTTTCTGTAATGACAGAGAGCTGATGGGCATCTGTTCTTGCAATAGGACTTTGGATTTCCATGAGTCACCTTAAATTAAATGCAAGGTCACCAATTTAATTCTTTTTTTTTTAAGTTTATTTCTATTTTTGTAGTAATCTCTGTACCTAGGGTGGTCTTCAAACCCACGACCCCAAGATCAAGAGTCGCATGCTCTTTGAGCCAGCCAGGTGCCCCAATTTAATTCTTCTTTATTTTTGAGTTTATATTTTATTACCAAAAAGGAGGATTATGTGGGTCATTGGCATTCACAGTTACTTTTAGGGGAATCTTCAGTTTTGTGGTTTTTAGATAGTTCATTAAGCTCTCTTATTCTTTTTTTTTGCTTTATTATTTTTTTATTATTATGTTATGTTAGTCACCATACATTATATCATTAGTTTTTGGTATAGTGTTCCATGATTCATTGTTTGCGTATAACACCCAGTGCTCCATGCAGTACGTGCCCTCTTTAATACCCATCACCAGGCTAACCCATCCCCCCACCCCCTCCCCTCTAAGGCTCTCTTATACTTTTAATTGGAAGGGGCATTCAGGAGTTATTCAGACCCATCCTTCAGAGGAGCACCTGCTCAGTTGTTGACTAAAAACAATCACTAGGCAAGGACTGGGGTAAGGGAAGGAAACTAACAATTGTTGAGAACTGGTATGTGCTTGGCATTTTATGTACATTATCTTTTTTTAAATTGCTTGTTTCTAAGATTCAGAGGAGAGAATAGGGTGGGGGGTGGTTAGAGGAAAATAGTAAGAAATGAATGAAAGCTGTCATATGTATTTCTGTAAGGACTTACAAGACCAGCTAGAAGATATGATGGAAGATGCCAGTGAAATCCAAGAAGCGCTGAGCCGTAGTTATGGTACCCCAGAATTAGATGAAGATGACCTGGAAGCAGGTATGTTGTGGGAAAAGCAATTAGGAAAGAAAAAGTTTTAGAGTCTGAAATGGGTGATTTCCTGGTACCTTTTCCCAAATGCTAGAGAAAATTCCTGCGAGGGTTCTGTGAGAGTTAGTTTATGGTACAGTCTCTGGGCAAAGAGCTTGTGAGGCAGGCATGTCAGATTTGCATCCTCCACCAACAACTCTGGGAAGGACAAGCTACAGAGGAAAGTTGGGGCAAAGGTCTCTGCTGACCTGGTACTTGGTATCTAATTATTGCCTTTCCCTGCCATTTTTCTTTGGATTTTGTTCTCCCTATTATTGGAGTCCTCTCCCTCAGAACAGCAAAGCAGATCAAGAAATAGTCACTGGCAAGTACTTAGTGTGCATCTGCCATATGCCAGGTACTGTGTTAGATGCTGGGGGTTTAACGTTGAAGAAAGCGGATACGGTCCCTGCATTCATGAAGCTTCTCTAGCCAGGTGTAAGAAACTGCTTGTTTCAAATAATTAATAGCAAGAACACAAACTGTTGGGAAGGAGAAGTATGGGGTACTGTGGAGCACATAGCTGGGGAATGTAACCTACTTGGGAGTGGAGACAGGCATGGGTCCTGAAGGATGAGTAGGGGTTAGCAGGAAAAAAACGGGAGGGGTTGTTAAGTGGTCTCAGGGAGAGGAATCTTTACCCGAAGAAAATGAAAACACTAATTTGAAAAAATACATACACCCCTATGTCTATTGCAGCATTGTTTTTAATAGCCAAGATATGGAAGCAGCCCAAGTGCCCATCCATAAATGAATTGGTAAAGAAGATGTGGTACATATATACACAGTGGAATATTACTTGGCCATAAAAAGAATGAAATCTTGCCATTTGCAACAACATGGTTGGATCTAGAGGATATAATCCTAAGTGAAATAAGTCCCACAGAGAAAGACAAATACCATGATGATTTCACTTATATGTGGAATTTAAGAAACAAAGAAAAAGATGAAAAAACAGTCTTAACTATAGAGAACAAAGTGCTAGAAGGGTGGGGAGGGGATGGCAGAAATAGGTGAAGGGGATTAAGAGTGCACTTATCCGTGATGAGCACTAGGTAATGTATAGAATTGTTGAATCACTATATTGTATACTTAAAACATTAATTTCTTTATTTCCTATCCTGAGTTTCCCCTGATGAATCTCTACCTGCTATTGTCATTTCTCTTGGTCATTTCCAACTCACTTTACCGTAGACTTGTTTTTAAAGCCTGATTTCATGTGATGATCATCAGTGTATAACAATCTCTTGCTTTCTTTCACTGCCTTCTTTCAAGTTCATCAATAAATGAGAGAAAATTTTGTATATTTGTTATTGTCCAAATTTTCTAATTTGAATTGGCCAAGCGATAGCTCTAGACTCTTCTCATGAAGACTAGGACCTTGTAAACCTGTGGGGAATGGTTGTTTTGTTTGTTTTAGTTTGGTTTTTGTTTTTCATAGATTTTACCACATCAGTTCCCTTGAAAGTTTCTTATAATGGTCATCTTTTATTTTGAAAATAGAAATTAATAATCCTTTTCTCTTTGTTTTAAAATTTTTGTCTTATAACAAATAATTTATCTAACTTTCTTAACATTAGCTGCCAATTTTCTTGTGTAAATTTTAGTGAAATGTTGACTTTTTCAATATCAGAGTTGGATGCACTGGGTGATGAGCTTCTGGCCGACGAAGACAGCTCTTACTTGGATGAAGCAGCATCTGCACCTGCAATTCCAGAAGGTGTTCCCACTGACACAAAGAATAAGGTGAAAGCTTTTTCTCTTTCTGTTAGCTATGCAAAATGTAAAGGTTTTATGCTTAATCACCAGTTTGGGAATCTACAAGGTAGTCCTTAAGTTAGAACAAGGAAAGATTGTCTCAGTCATTATTTTGGGACCCCTTGCTAATATTAAACTGTGGACAGGCTGTGTACATTGTGTCACGGAGGCCCAGGAGTATTTTTCTACATTAACAATTTGTATAATTTAATTATGAACTTGTACTAGGTTCCATTTATAGGTTTTAGATAGCATTTCCTGGAAAAGTATCACTAACACATGCATGAACCATGCTGGGCAACAACATGAAAGAAAGTTCTGTCCTCCATACACACTGCTTAATTGTAGGGTGGATTTTTTTTTAATAAAGATTAATTAAGTATAAGACTTAATATAGAAAGATTCTCACTTAACAAGGTAAAGAATCAGGATACCTGGGTTTAAGTCTCAGCCCCGCCACTAACTGACTGTGAGACTTGGCAAATCACTTAACTGTTTTGAACTTTTCTGTTCCTTGTATCTTTGACATGCAGATAATTATAATTATCTCACATAATTGTTGTATAGACCAAGTTAGATCTTGTATGGCGAACTGAAAGCCCTATCCAAAGCCACATGGTTGTCATTATTATAAACAGATAAAATTTTGTTACTTATGAAATCCTGTTCACTCTATCTTAGTTCCTCGTGTAAATGTCATTTTTTTTCTATTGCCATTTATCCTGTGTTTGCATTATCTCCCAACGTGCACATTGAGTGTGCAGAACCCTTGAGTGAGAGCCAATCTCCTCAGCTCTGCCTTTATTCACTCTATGACTTGGAGCAAATAAAGAAAAAAAAAAGATTTATTTATTTGAGAGAGAGAGCGGGTGGGGGTGCAGAAAGAGAGAATCCCAAAGCTGACTCCCCCTCAGCGCAGAGCTGGACAACCCTGAGATCATGACCTGAGCCGTAACCAAGAGTCAGATGCTCAGCATCCAACTGAGCCACCCAGGCACCCCAACTTGGAGCAAATTAGAAATCCTTGTTTTCTGTCTGAACTTCATCAGTTTTTCCCACCTATGAAATGTAGGGAGCGAAAGGTAGGGAGTAGGTAGTTTCTCAGGTCCTTCTAGCTAATTTCTGTGAATGTGCATCTTCCCCTACTGTACCCCTCCTTTCCTCCTTGAGTCTAGGGTAATCTTACCTTTCTCTACTGCCCATTCTACCCCACCTCACCACCCCTTCCTCTGACCATTTCAAGGTTCCAGGCACATAGGTTGGTTTTTTTGAGCATACCTGAAATAATTTTTTTTTAAAGATTTTATTTATTGGGCGCCTGGGTGGCTCAGTTGGTTAAGTGACTGCCTTCGGCTCAGGTCATGATCCTGGAGTCCCGGGATCGAGTCCCGCATCAGGCTCCCTGCTTA